ATAACAGCAGCAGCAGCAGCAGCAAGAACAACGACGCCAGCAGCAGACGCGGAAGTTCGTCTGAAACCTCCTCAGCAAGAAGCTAGGAAACGTGAAAAGAAAGCGATACCAGAAGCGAAGAGGAAACTTGCAAAGGATCTTCACGATGCCGTTTTCAACGAATCTTATCATGTTGACGTGGAACACGATAAGTTACAAGTCATCAGAGAAGCACCCGTTTGCTGTTTCAGGTGTTTGCTCCTTTTCTACGTGGTAAAACAACAAATACATACACAGATATTTAGATGTGTAGGTATAAATACACTAAGATACGTGCACAGGTGAACAAATATATCAGTTTTCAACAGCAACGCCACACCCCACCCCTCTCCAAAAAATTCAAAGACGCCCTCATCGCTCGCCATAAACAGTTAAACGTACGTCTTTTCTTTGTGTAGCTTATTCCCTATATATATAATATGTAAATGCAAATATATACATATATATATACATATATATATATATATATATATATGTTTAGTTTTCTTTGCGTGTATCTTTCCTCAGCGGGCTCACAGGCGAGCACTCAGAAACGGGCGGCCTCTCACCAAACATATTTGCCCGTTTGCCCCCATCAGCAGATACCCTGAGGGACTCAACAGAAGATACCGAGAGGCCACCGCCANATTTGCCCGTTTGCCCCCATCAGCAGATACCCTGAGGGACTCAACAGAAGATACCGAGAGGCCACCGCCAGCATATACCCTGACGCCCCCACCAACAGAAACCCTGAGCGGCCCATCAACAGGTACCCTGTTGATCCCAGCAGCAGGTACCCTGTTGTCCCCAACAACAGATACATTGAAATCCCTTACAGCAGATGCCACGAGGTCCCCTACAGCAGATATCCTGTTGCGCCATATACCAGATATTCTCAGGCCCCATACAACAGCCTACCTGTGGTCCGCTATAGCAGATATCCTCAGGCCTACAACAAACACCCTCAGCCCCCATACAGCGGGCTGCCTCAGCTCCCATACAACAGGCTGCCCCAGGCCCCATACAGCGGACTGCCGCTGGTTCCATACAACTGACTGCCTCAGGCCCCATACAGGGGACTGCCTCAAGCCCCATACAACAGACGTTATGAAAGGATATACCCTCAAGGAGAAGCTTATTCACCGGTAAGTCGTTTCTATCATATATTTATATATATCATTTATTCTTCATATAATACAAATCGTTTATATATATATATATATATATATATATATATATATATATA